TTGCTACTCCTCCACTCTACTACTACAACCACCACCACCAACTAGTGCTACTACTAACCCCATACTACTACTACTACTACTACTACTACTACCACTACTACTACTACTACTACTACTACTACCACTGCTACTACTACATTGAGCTGCAATTATTAGCGGTCATTCTGGTCGTCTGGTCATTTTGGTCGTTTTGCTGTTTTGCTTATTTACAGGGGGGTTGGTGTTAGGTCGTTTTGTTCGTTTCAGGGACCGGTCGTGTTGATCATGTTGGTTTTTGTTTGATCGTTTCGGAGGGGGGTCGAACCTGACATAAATGATGCGCTTCTTTGCCCGGCCTAGCGGACCATGGTGCGAGCAGGCTCGACTACTACTTCTACTGCTAGTACTCCTACTTCTACTTGTAGTTCTACTTCTGTGTTTATCGTTATTACTACATCTACAACTACTACTGCCACTACGACCACTACTTATGGCCATTGTTACATCAGTTGTTTATGCATGGTTGTTGCTAGTTAGATATCCCTGGCAGGGAGGCCTCTGCCAATGCAGCACTGGAGCTTAAGCGCCGAGTCGCTGCTGGCACTCTGGAGGCCCGTGCAAAGGGACTCGATGAGCTCTTTAAGGCTTTGGGATTAGAGCTTGGGGTTCAGGGTTGTATCAGGGGCTTAAGCTTTGGGGCTTGCGCTGGGGTTGATTTTTTTTTTTTTTTTTTTNNGGGGGGGAGTGCGGGCTGTTTTTGAATTATGTTGTCAATGTGTGGCTTCGTTACTTCTGTGGAGACTTGCAATAAAGATATGGTAGTATGACGAATATTGCTACACTCCATGGTCAGTTATGGTGTATAGGGTTCAGGTTCAAGTTATCAGTATGGCCGGCATTGTCATCGGTGTAGTTTGTGACGTCATCTTTTGGCTGGTACATGACCCCGATTATGCTTTAGGTTCAGAGTTCAGGGTCGTAGGTTTGGGTTTTACGAAGTCGAAGCAGTATTCTGGAGTCACTGCAAGGAACCTACCACTTTCGCAACACTAGATCTTTACGGTCATCAAATCGACTTGGACCATTGCGAGAAAAGGTACTCTGTAAACAAAACGCGTTTGCCGCATTGGCCTTTCTACTCCGCAAGCAACGGCAAAACAACACGTTTATTCACTCAGGGGTGTAAGTCTCGCTGTTGTTGGAGATTGGTGATTTAGGCTTAAAGTGTTCAGCCGCTGCAGAACGGATGTTGTTCAAGTGCTTAAGATGTAGGCTGTCATACATGCTAACCCGTTTTGGGGGCTACTCGAAGTGCAAAGTTACATTATCGGGGTTACGGTTCCTGTTTTCAGATGCTTGGGTGTCTGTTACTTTGCGGTGTAGGTGTTAAACATGATTGTTATTCCTGATGAATCGCATCCTTTCCAGCATGTGAGCACATGAAGATACTTCTAATTCTAAGCAATGTGTGTGATGGCCCTTCGTTGCATAATGCCAGAGCGCACTCCTGAGTGTTGAGGGTACGAATTGTATAGAGGAGAGCAGGGTGAGTCTGAGTATAGTACGTCTCTGTACGTGTGTGTGTATATATATAT